TGAAAGTGATTTTTTTTCCTGTGAAGCAGAAATCAGGTAAGGTAGATGAGGAAGTGGACTGCTAATTTTTTATTACAACCCTATAGAACCATTTGAATTTTTAAAATATGTGCTTTATTAAAAACAAAAACTTACAAAACATTTTTTCTTACTAAATATGGTTAAATATTTACACATAAAATATTTTTCAGAGCAGTATACATAAGAGTGCAAAACTGTCAGCAACCTAAATATTTAACTTTAAAGAAAGTTAAAATTATGGTGTATTTATACATCCCAAATTATGTAGACTTTAAAGGGGATATTTATAAAGAGTATTTAAGTCTACTGAATAATGCTTATGAAGTATTAAGCAGGGAAAGCAGGATACTAAATTGTATGTGTGATATTAATTCACTCAATAGATATTTATTTAATGGGTACTATGTGCCAGGAACTTTTGTAGGAGATACAGCCAAGGGCTAGTTTTTAGCTAGTATGTACAAGTACAGCCATTCAAATTTTTGACAGCTGGCATCTGTTCTGATTGGTCAGTAGAACAATCTTTGACTTGCTGAATGTCAAGTATTTTTAATACCATCAATAGATACAGAAAGTGTACAAAGTAGACAAAAATCTCTGACTTCATGGAGTTTTCACTCTTATCAAGAAAATAAATTAAAATACAATAAATAAATAAAATATATACTTTGTAAGATGTTGACAAGTACTTCAGAGATAAATCAAGGAAGGAGAGAGAGAAAATGCTGATAGGGGTGTGGGTTGAAATATATAACAGGTTAGTTAGGGAACTCTCACTGGGCAGGCAGCATTTGAATAGACTTGAAGAAGATAAAAAATTGAGTTGTGTGAATATTTGGGAGAAGAATGTTCCTTGGACGTAGGAACAGGAAGTACAAGGCCCTGAGACACAAGCTTGCCTGGTGTTGGAGGAACGGCAAGAGGGTAGTACATCTAAAGCTAAGTATTATATAAGGGGAGGGTCAGATCAAGATATCTTGTTGGTTTATCCTCTGAGTGAAATGGTAGGCCACAGTTAGATTCTTAGCAGAGGAGTAATGTAATCTAACTTATATTTTAATGGGATCATTCTGAAAGCTGTGCTTAGAATAGAGAATAGCAAGGACAGAAACAGGAGACCATGAGGAAGCTTCTGTAATAATCTAAGCAAGAGGTGATAGAGGCTTTGAAGGCAGTAGTAGCAGAAAAAGTGGTGAGAAGTGGCTAAATTCTTGATATGTACTAAAAGTAGAAGCTGAGAAAATTTGTTTACATATAGGATGTGGAATGTGAGGGAAAGAGAGGAGTCCAGATTAACTTCAAGGATTTTAGCCAAAACCAATGGTAAGATAAAAGGTTCTTTTCAGACAGTCTGCAGAATGAACAAGTTTGGGGAGTTAGAGTAGGAGTCCATGTTGCCAAGGAATAAGGAGTTGGGAAGGATGAATAAGCAGAACACAGAGGATTTCTTTGGGTAGTAAAACTGTTCTGCATACTATAATGACTACCCGACATTATACACTTACCTAAACCCACTGAATGTACAACACCAAGTGAACCCCAAAGTAAACTATGGACTTTTGGTTATAACGATGTGTCAATGTGGGTTCATTTACTATAACGTATGTGCCGTTCTGGTGCAAGATGTTGATAGCAGGGGAGGCCATGTGTGTGTGTAGTGGCAGCGGGTATCTGGGAACTCTGTATCTTCTGCTCAATTTTTATGTAAAACTAAAACTGCTCTAAAAAGCAAAGTCTACTTTTTTTTTAAAAAAAAATAATAAACAATTAGTTACATAATCCATGGAAATATTTATACTTTAGAATTAGGCAGAAAAAGAGAAACCAGCAATCAAGACTAAGGAAGAAAATCAAAGAAGAGAAAAGCAATAAGGATAAGGCAATAGAAAACTATAAGTGTTTCAAGAGGGAGGGAACCGGTAAGATTGAAATGTGTTACTCTTAGGTTGATAGGGATGTTGAATAAAATAATGAATAATAAGTATCACAGGTTTACTAACCAACAGAGGTCACTTATCTAAGAAAGATTTGCTTTCACTGGAATTATACCGGAAAACTCCAATTGTAAGAGGCTAACAATGTATGAGAAAGAGAGTAAATTAATAAATGAAAAAGGAAAGAAAGGCAGTGTATATGAAATTTCTTATTAAGTTTGATGTCTGCATATTTATGGCTAATGTAAATTCATTTAAAATAAATTAAATGTCCAAAAATGTGTTCTTGAAGAAACCAATTTCTTAACATAAGTGGATAAAATTTATTTTAAATGAGAAAATAAAGTGATTTTTTTTTAAAAGTAACTCTCAGGGTATATACTAGTATCACTGTAATTCAGTCCCTTAACCTATTGGTCCCATTGTATTTTACTTGTTATTAAGGAAAACTGAAAACATAAAAGCAGGAGAAACAGTGCCATGTCTAGCAAATTTAGCTAGTGTAATTCCATGTGACTCCAAAAAGAATACTTATAAATGATCACCAAAAATCTATTCTTACAGTGTACCATAAAAATAATTTAGAAAGAATTTTCTGGTTATTAGAGTAAACAAAGACATTATCATTTGAATGACACTAGATTATTAAAAGGTATTTCTGCATATGGTAACTGATTTTGCCATAATCATCACTTTGAAAAGTTGTATGTAATGTATGACCATTAACTTTGATTTTTTTCCCCCAAACATATCTCTAGAACTATTTCCTTTAGGAATTTCAGTGTAATTCAATGAAATAAAATAAGAACTTTTCAGTTCTTGTCCTATTCAAGTTTACCTTTATTAGTGATATTAATAATTGTACTATTTATAATAAAATGGTAGAAATACTGGCATACTCAAAGCTTCTAGAGACAGTGATCCTTTTAAAAAATTGTTTCTAATGCTCATTTAGATACTAAATATTAAATCAGTTAACAAAAATGATACTTACAAATGAGTTATAAAAGATAATAAGCATACTGCTCAGAAAGAAGACAAATTGTTTAGTCACCATACAGCTTGGTAATAAACTTATTATCCATCATTTATATGGCAATTTACAGATTGACTGAGTTGATGAGAGTTTTAAAAAATTAATTCTTCCTCCTATCCTCACTCTACCAAGAATTTAAGCTGGCTTAAATAATGGATAAAGTTAAGAAGGATGAAAAGACAATAGAAAAATCTGAGACTTTTGCAAAAAAAGATGAGCAACTAGAGAAGATTTTAATATATTCATCAGGATTAAAAATGTAGTTATGTTTATATATTATTTTAAATTAGATAGTCTATAAAGATTTCTATTTTATGGGGGGTTGGTTTTTGTTTTGAACTTACACATCTCTTCTGGTCTACTTATTTCCTTCTACTTTTAATAGAAATGTTCATCTATTTCTCTCCATAAATAGTAGCTGCCATTTAGTTAAATTTAACAGAAACACACAACCAGAAATGCCAGAATAAAGACCATGAATTTTTATCTCAGATCCCATTTTATTTATTTATTTGTTTGTTTTTAGAGACAGGGTTTGTTTGTTTGTCTGTTTGCAGAAACAGGGTCTTGCTACATTGCCCAGACTAGGCTTGAACCCCTGGCATCAAGCAATCCTCCCACCTTGGCCTCCCAAAGTGCTGAGATTATAGGCATGAGCCACCGCACTGGCCTCAGATCCCATCTTAAATGGAAATAGCCATATCACATCGAGCACATGAAATCTGTCCCCTAACACCAATACTAAGTTAGCACACATTACGGAAGCTGCCTTTCAAACAATGTTGTTTTCTATTTTGCAAGTATAAATTTTAAAAATGACTATACTTTATTTTCATAAAATACTAAATTCCTTGGAGGTAATTAACAATAATAACAGCAATCTATAATTTGTCCCTTTCTCAGTTATTGTTCTGCTCTGTCCATCTATAAATTCAATAGAAACAAGAGAAAGCACATTAAATGATAATAACAAAGCTATTATAAGCCCACAACTAAGAATTTCAAAACGAATCTATATAAATTTTGTGGAAAAATTGATTTCTACCAAACTTTATACTTCTTGGACAGATTAAAAGTATGTTCCACATTAAAATGTCACAATTTTCCTCAATTTTGGTAGATGATTCTGGCTTAGTAAGTTATACTGCTAATGCTATAATATTACTCTGTAATCCACAGCAAAAAATGAATTTAAGACAACAAGGTACAACACAATCTTCTTGGTGGCAAATCTTTCCTTACTGCACAATAAAAAAAATGATGAATCTTTTTTGTTTCCTGTGGATTTTCTTTTTTCAATCTGTTAATGAGAATTCAAGCACCTTGAAGGTAGAGACCACTACCATGTCACACTATACTAGGAACTGGGACAAAGACAAAGAGTAGAGTAGGAAGTCACAAGGATCTTAAGAAAAAATATAATTAGTAGAATTGAAATAATGTCCTTTTTCATGATTACTGGATCTCTATTACAAGGAGATTAAACTCCTTGTCATGAAATGTACACTTTACCCATTTCAAGTGATAGTTAAATTTATTATCTTTCTTCCTCTTTTGTTGTAACATTCTAAGTACTCCTTCAATTACCAAACATATCCATGTATTCTTCAAGAAGTGTTAGTTCTGTGGGTGACTAAAACTACAAGTTATTTTAAAAAATTATTATAATAAATATTGATGCAAAGGCCCATAATTTAATTTTCTTTTAGCATGGTTAGTTTTTATTAACTACAAAAGGTAATAATATAAAAACAGAATAAACATGTACCAGAAGTTATTAATATACCACCACTCAAAATTCAGAAAAATATGTTGTTTTCATGTACACATACATGAAATAAAATAATACCATAACAGAAGGGTGCTGTATCTGTGTTTAAAGAAGGGGTTGTTGGCAAACACCACAGCTCACTTCTGCTGAAATGTACACAACTGATATATGCAGCACAGAAAGCTGGCACCAAGGGCTTACAACCTTAATTTGCCTGCAAGAAGGAATGGAGATTTACCTTCAGAGCACGTTCTTGATTGTTTTCAGCAGTCAGATGTCTCATGTTGTTTGCTGAAGTCTGGTTCTGCTCTTTCAGATGATGAAGCTCCTGCTCTAGCCGTTTGCACTGCCACAGGGGAAGAATCCCATTAAGTAAAGGAGTTATAGCATTTTTTTCACTGAGCCACATGAATTAATGTAAATAATATCATTGTATTCTCTATAAGACAAGGGTTTTTTGCAACAACAATGGTAAGTAAAAGTAATGTTAAATACAAACAAATACAACTGTTTATAGTACTCTGGTAATTCAATTACAATTTTCAGTTAGTTTTTGCTAATCTAAATATTATGATATAAATCATAAAAATACTTACTTTTATAAAATTAAGGTTAAACTATATTTAAAACTATTTTCTTCTCTAGCCAAATGGTTCAGATTATCTATCTGTGGAATAAAAGCATGCTTCTAAAAATCACATTAGATTCTAAATAAACTACAATATGGTATTCTAGGATCAATTTTTATCAATATTTTAAAACAAAAATGATAAAATATACATTCAGAGATATTTCAGATTTTTAGAAATATCTGAACAAACAATTTTATAGGGAAAAAGGCAACAGCCAGGGTGCCACAAGACTTGGAAACAGATAAAGAATTGAGTGTTTTTATAATTTCTCCTGTTTTGAATAAATCTCACTTTTAATTAAACAAGTGATAACAAACATGTGAAATGACACTTTCACCTACTTAGAATACGAGTATGAGAGAACAAAAGTAAAAAAGTAAGTAAAAATAAATTATAAGTAAAAGTATAAATGGGCTAATAGAAGTACGTATGTTCAAAAAATTATTAAAATATCTTGTAATTTGAATATAAGATCTCAGTATGAATATATACAACATTTTACACAATAGTTACACATGCTATAAAATGATATTCTGAAAATCAGAACAATATGAGATTGGTTAAAGGAATAAAGTGCTCAACCCATCTTTTAGGACAAAGTTAAACATCGTTAATTTATCTATTTTTAAATTAGGATATTTAAGTAATAACCAATGAGTACACATATTGATTTGAGATGGGGACAAAGTTCTTTATAGATTATTTAACAAATGGCTATTTGCCATAATGAATCAAAAATCATTAATTATGATATAATCAAGATGCAGCTGTAATCCAAACTGGCATTTCTTACTACTCTAAGGTTGATTTCTTCTGCTTCTGATCTCTATAACATTATGCAACCTGCATCAATATTCCCCAACTTTGAGTAATACACAAATCCTTTTAATGGAAAAAGTTATATCATATTCCTGATACTGACTTAGATTGCATTATGATGTTTATACACAAATATAAAATTGAGTATAGACATCTCACGCATATATGCATATATAATACAATTACAAAACCAAAACACATTTATATATAAAATAACCACAAAATCAAGATATTTCAAATTAATATTAATTTAATTTACCAGATAGTTTTGTTGAAGCTAAATCCTGCAAATATGATAGAGTACTGACTCTATCAGTGGCAGATCCTTTTATATTGTCATGTCCATTCTACCACGTGCTGTGTGACAACTTAATTCATCTATCACGTTTTTTAAAACAAAAATCACATGAAACCTTTGTGACATGTATCATTCGGCTTTATTTGGAGGGGACACATGATCTATAAACTTTGTCTCCATTCCTTTTTAGCCTTAACAATCAAAATATTTGGTCATAATGCAACCAAAACACAAATATGTTTAGTGAAGACACAAATCACGAGCCACAAAAATGAGTAAGACATAGCAGCAAGTGTGACAATATAGTAGAGAGATTTTCTACTAGAATTATCCTTCACACTTACAATTAATTTAATACAAAATTATTTAGATAAGCATTAAAAATGTAATGACTAAATATGATCTGAAATGTGAGGTAGATTATTTTGGTTATGGGAGAAAAAGAATGTTTCATGGAGCAGATGACATCTGAGTCTGGCTTGCTTGGGTATATAATTTTGTAAGCCAAAAATGAAAAAAGAATATAGGAGAAGAGGAATGATGGTGGAAAGAGGGATATATCTGGAGCAAGTGAAGAAGCATGGTCAAGAGTTGTCTGACCACCTATTCTTTTTATTCCAAGTAAACTAGAAATGACCCATGAAAAGACATTTTCCCCATCTACATGATACAAAAATAAAAAGAGAATTCACTCATCTTGCTCTAGAAATAAATGTTGAGTTTATTTTCATTTCTTTATGAGGTTTAAATTTAACATTGACCTATTAATAGGTGGGACGCAAACTTTCTCAGCCAAACAATAGCTTTGAAGTTAGTAAAAATATATATAAATGTTCCTGTCAAATATATATTTGTGATTTATATTTAAGGTTTACTTAGATTTATTTAATCCTATATTATTTATTCATTTGATGTTATACTTGGAAATCCTAATACACTCCCCACAATTGCATATTTATGTATAATTTCTTCTGGGTTCTTTTTTCTTTTACTAAATTCTTTAATTTTGAAATTGATTTTGAAGCAAAGGGATTTAACTTTATTTATTAGCAAGTGTTACACAGTTCTACAACAATCTGTCTAGGAGTGGATTTTTATCTTCTTGATACTCTTCATGCTTCTCAAACCTGGAAAATTCACAGCTATCATCTCTTGGAATATTCTCTCACTTCTATTTTGAAACTCATACTCGTCATATTAGATCCAAATATCATCAGAGTTATTTCTTTGATAACTTTTAATCTTTCATATTTTAAATCTCTTTATCTGTGTGAGTTCCAAGCATCTATCATTAGTGAAATGAGATTTCATTCTATCTTCAGCTGTGCCTACTCTTGCTCTATTCACCTATGTTTTAATTTCAGTGACTACAGTTTTCATTTCTAGATGTCCTCTTATATTCTTTTTCAATTCTGTCCATCTTTTTTTATAGCATTCTTTTTTTAATATGTCTATTAAATGGTTTCTCTTTTATAAACACATATTTGACATCTCCTATTTCACATTTTCCTATATCTCAACTTGTTGGTGGTATAATCCTTGTAATTACTCTTCATGGTGGATTGTTTTCTTGCATGGTATGTAGATTTTCACTTTGCCCATCTTTAGCAGACATTCCTTTTTTTTTTTTTTGGTAATAACCTGTGTGTGGAGGCATTGCCAGATCGGTTTTACATTGGCTTCTGAGTGATGCGAAGTTTTTATTCATTTAAGGCAGATTGTCTTTGTCCATGGATTCACACCATGACAGTTATGTAATTTGTTGTCTTTAGCCCCATATGAAGCAATTCTAGCCCTTTAATTTCTCAAGATAATTTTTCCTCTTTTGCTGTTTTAGCCAGAGACAAGCTTCCTTATCACTTCCCTGAACCAGTAATTTGTCTATTTTTTCTAGACTTCGTTTCACTGAAGAAGCAGTCTTTCCATAGTCTGACTATATGCAAGAGTCTCCACTCAGTTCCCACCTCAAGTGGCCTTATCATCAATCCATCCAAGGGCAATAAAATTCAAGTTCCTTGCCCTTTGGATCTACATCTGGTCTTACATCCCTAGTATGTTTGTAGCTCTTTAGAGTTCCTCTTAATTTTTAAAGCTTCATAATCTTTCTTTCATTCTTTCTGAAAAGAAGGGTGTGTGTGTGTGTGTGTGTGTGTGTGTATAGTAGAGGGCACTCTAAGACCAATTTTTGCATGAAATACTGTAACCAAAGAGACAAGTATCATATAAAAAAGATAAAGCTATTTTTGCACTGAGGATATTTATCCATATTCCATGTTTGGGCTCAGTTCCCGGGGCCATCAGTATAAGGGTGATAGAAAACAGGGCCCAAGGACCACACAAAGTGGCAAGTGTCCCAAAGAGCTACAGACACTTTCAGGTGTTTAATGATCCTCCCTACTTTGATGAATGAAAAGAGACAAGGCAAATACTAGAGAAGATATGTGTCCCTAAATCAAGTAATACAATTATATAATTTTTTCTTTGGTTTTAAACAGTTTCCTTTTGAACTGATAATTAACAATACCATATCTTCCCTGTTCATATTCTGCCAAATATTAATTTTCTTAAAAGTTCTAAAATATAAATAAGGACATAGGAGTTCTTATATCTTTCATATTTAACAAAAATTTTTAATATTCAAATTGAACTTAAGTAAATGCCAACTCTATACTGTCACAGTATTGTAGAGAACTAGGATTTTCATCATAGAAAACAAAAGATACAGATATAAGATAAGTCAAGGAAAAACTCTTTGGTTCAGAATTTGATGTATGAGTATGAAGACATAATGACTTTTATCTTTAAAAAATATGTATGTGTCTGTATGGATTTCCTAGTTCCGCCCATTGGGAAAAAACTAGAAATAATAGGAAATCCAATAGCAAAGAGGACCCTAGCACCTGGACTGAGGACTCCAAGTACCGTTTCCTACTAAAAATAAGGGAATTCATAGATATATGGCTGATTCCAGATCTGGGGCAACAAATGTACACGATGATCCAGGAACATCTGGTCATAGTAAATACCAATGAACTATTAAAGAGACTCTGAAAGGACTTGGGAGTCAACCATTGGCATATTGCCTAGTGGTTACTGGTACAGTGCTTAGT